GGGGGACTTTGAATGTCCCCCCAGGTCCTGGATGGGTACAACAGGACCGCTTCCGGGGAGGGGGGGGGATAGCTATAGATTTCAATCCACAGCTTTAGGAAGCGTTCCGGAATGTGTACCGTCTACATTTTTGGCAGCTAGCGCATCCCCTCTCCTTCGCCCACCTGGAGGCCTGCCTGGCTCCTGTTCTTCTGCCTTCCAAGCGTCCAGGGGCCGGCCAGAGCAGAGCACGATGGAGGGCCTGTATTTTTTTCTGTCTGCCAGAAGGCCTTCCACCTGCCGCGGAGGCTTCCAACAGACCAGGGCACACCGAAGAGGCTTCTCTCCTGCGGCGCAGTCCAGCAGGAGTCGCTGAGAGGACCCCACCTCCCTCGAGGGCCCCCTTTCTGCCTACAGGACAGACCGATACCTGCTGTGCAACCTCTCTGCTATTCTGGGGTTGAAGCCATCCGCCAGGGAGGGCACCGGAGAAGATCTACAATCATGTCTCTACTTCCACGGATTGGCAAGCTTCCACTGGAGGAAAATGGGTTATAATAATAATAACCATCATAATCTGAGAACTGCTGAGCTGGAAGGGGCCCTGTGGGATCATGGAGGCCAGACCCTATCAAGAAGGCACGGTGGAGATTTCAACTCCCAACCTCCAGCCAGAGGCCTGAACCGCAGAGCACCCTGGCAGTTCCTTCTCACAGCAGAGGAACATTCGAGCAATTGACCTGGGAAGTGGAGGCCAGGCTCTCGGTCCTACTTACCCGGACCCATGGTGGACCACGACGGCCGCGAGGTCATACAAGCAACTGTCTGGGCCACTGTTTTCAGGCTGGAGTTCGGGAAGGGAGGAGGGGTGGGGGGGTGGGGAGAGAGAGAACAGAGCAGCTGAGCAATCCTCCGAAGGGGAGGGTCCGTTCCCCCCCGCCGCCCCCCCAAATAGTGCCCTGAGGGTTTGTCTCGGTACCTCGAGCAAGTAGCATTTCATGTCTAGGCCTCTCAAGGGAAACTCAACGTAGGTGTCCACTTTGTTCCTCAGGTACGCCGTCCAGTGGAAGCGCTTCAAATGCAAACACAGCACCTGTCGGGCAGACGGACACAAAGGCATCCTTTAGCCGGCAAGTAACTTTATGAGCCTGAATTTAAAAATATGTAAGTAAGACGCCTTTGTTCATAGTGCAGAACACAGAAACGTCTGGGAGAGGAGGAGACCCTGGCTGCCTTAGGATAAGGACCGAAGAAGAAGACGAGGAGCCCCTGTGCAGGATCAGGCCAAGTGTCCCTCTAGCCCAGCTCCCAGTCTCTCCCAGTGGCCCCAACATGGTCCTGGTCTTTCTTGCGTGAGAGGGAAAAGAGCTTCTCCCTGTCCCCTTGATCCGTCCCCTGCTTTCAGCATGGCTGGAAAGAGAACAGTCCACATAAAATCCACCACAACATCCAAGGAGAAAGACGCAGCAGCCCACAGGGCACCACAACCTGACACCACCTGAACGTGTAAATGGCAGCAGCCGCCAGATACAGAGCGCACGTTTTTCTTACAAAACCTCTCAAGAAACTAGGAGAAAACTGCAGAAACTGAGCTCAAGATCTCCTCCCCTCAGCTGTGCCCAATGGAAAACAGCAGAGTGACGGAAAGCCGCCCAGATCGCCGGGAGGCAATCCCCTTCCACAGGCTTCGAGGGCCTGCTTTTTACCTTTGGTAATTTCTGGACCCAGAACTTCTTGGTGGACTTCTGCTTTTTTTTACATTTGTGGCACATGTAGAGTTCGGTTTCGTCAAGTTCTTCCAGGTCTGTAAAACTGCGAAGACAATCTAAAAGAGAATCCAAATGAGGCAGCTAAGAATTATGGAGCAGAAGGGGGAACCAAAAGCCTTTCAAACATCGGAGGAATAAATATAACAATTATGTACTGCTGTTATCTAACGCCAATTTAAATGGCACATAAATCAAAAGGCTCTACAACAGTGGAGAGACTGCGGTAAACCCAATATTTCCTCTCATAGGACTCGTTATGTCCCTCGGGGACAAGTTTTTGGCCCCGATAAATGCCAAATTAGAGCATATGATGAGTTAACAAATCTGTCTGGATCCATGGCTAGCCCTGCCTCATCTATTGAAGGAGGAGAAGACAAAGAGGTGGCATAAAAAGGTATCCACATTTCTTCTTGCTGCAACAAGACCAGAATTGGGTTGAGAACTGTCTTTGGTCAGCTCTTACAAACTTGGCCCTTCCTAGAAATCTAACACACACAACAACAGAGGAGCGAATCGGCAAACAGATACTAGTGATTTTGACAGAGTAAGGCCCCCATTTATTATTTTTATGCAACAGGAAAAAAGAAAAGAAAATGGACAACTTCCAAATGCACATGGAACTTTATGGAGCTGTCGGATCGCTAAGTGGTTTAGGCATTATTAGAATAAAATTAAAAAGGAACAGGTCACCCTGGGAACACCATGGAAGGTCTTATTATGTCTGTATTTGGTTATTCAGCAATACAAGAGAAATAGCTCTATTATATTCCTTCCACGTAAGAAATCTTTTTAGCAAAATGAGACAGCTAAGCCTCTTTCCCCCATCTTTAGCTCCATCCTCTACTCAGCCAGCAAGAAAGGACCGACTACAGAGATAAAGAGTGAGAAACACATGCTTGGCGTGTTTTTAAAAACTTACCCCGTAACGTGCACATTGGTCCATTTTCCTGGTTCTTATGTTTATTTCGGAACTGACTTGGAATATCTAATGAAAGGTCTAAAAAAGAAAAAGAAAAAACACAACAGGTGAATTCAACCTTAGTTCCAAAGTCGAAAGCATTGGCGTTGAGCCAGAAGCCCTTTCCAAGGTCTTTTCCCTCGGTCCTTTCTTTACCTAAGAAAGGATCAAACTTTCTGGATTCCGTCCCACAGATCAGACAGTTGACTTCATTCTGGAGAATGCCTCCGAAAATGGCCGTGACGACGGTAGAAGCACCATTTCTAGATGAGACAGAAAAAGACAGCGAGGGTCAGCCTGTCCTCGCTGTGGCTCAGCGACGGGCTTTGAGCTATCCCCAGGGGGGCCGCAACGTTGCAAGTCCCGTTGAGACATTGTGCTCCTCCTGCATGAAAATGAACAGAGAAGGGGAGTATGTGGGGACCTGTTGGTTCTACACACAAGCGGACCCCCAACCCCACCCGCAACCCAGCAGGGCTACTGGAGCCCCACTCTGATCCACCTGCAGCAGGAACAAGGCAGTCTGTGCTTCCTCCTCTATAGCTGGGAAGCTGCACTGGAGTCTCTTTGATGCAACCTACAGGTGCTGATCATGTGGAAACAACCGGGCAGCCTGGGGCCAACTCTTTAGGGGAGCATGAATCCAAACGGAGTTCCTTACATGCAACATCGACTGCCAGCAGAGAGGCTGGAGTTCTCCTGCGAGATGACCGCCCGGGACACACCGTTGAAGCCTCCTTGAAGTTCCAGGTGGAGATGATCCAAGAGGTAACGCATGAACTCATGGGCGTCTTGCTGCTGGTACCCCCTTAATGAAAACACACCCATGAATGCACCGGCAGCTTAGCTTGATTCTGTTAATTCCCATCAAGTGACAAGCCTTGTGACTGACTCACACATATCCTGAAGGCCACAAATGCTAACAGAGTAGGACCCCCGTATCCACAGGGGACTGGTTCCAAGCCCCCCCCCAGATGCTGAAAAATAAGATTGCAGTAAAACACCATTATAATAGTGAATGCTATACATCATGTGGTCTCTGGCTCCCTTTCATGGCCAGTTCTGGTAAATTCATTGTTAGAAAAGATATATACAGTATTTGGGATTTTTCATTTAATATTTTCAGACTGTGGATAAGTGAATCAGCAGATACGGATTCTGTGGATACAGGGGATCCTAAAAATTCCAACACATTTCCATTTTTTCCCAAGAGCTGGGAAGGAAGGAGCATCTAAGAGGCACAGGCCTCTCTTTCTGTGGGGCAAGGAGGGTAGGCAGGCAGTAAAATCATCCAGCAAGAATCACTCTGAAATATATACTGTACAAGGTCGTGCAGTTCCACATCAAACCCTCGGCAGCAAAACCAAGCAGCTTCCATAGGCTGGAACCTAATTCTTGCCAGGGAGGGGAAAGAGCCTAGTCATTTTTGCCTAGGCTGGGACTCCCTTCCCACCCCAAAGGTCAGCCCTACAGTGCCGAAAACCTGCTAGAGCAACTTCAGGGGGCAGAGGACACCTGCCTGCCCTGACCTCCGGCAACGGATGAGGAGGAGGACACGGGGCCGAACATCTTGGGAGTGTCAACAGGATCAGGACCTTTGCCCATTGCTTGAAACTATGGATCCAAAACTTCCTTGATTCTTGTTAGCTGGGGAAAGGCAGAGAAGAGAGAGGACAGGGGGAGGGCTTCTGCTGCTTGGGCGTCTCATATCACAGGGCCTTGGGGCTGCGTTCACAGCATCTTTTCAGCCCTGCTAGAGGCGTCAACACATGAACAGAACATGACCTGAAAAGGTGGCGCAACTTACCTGCTGCACAGTTAATCCTACCAGGGCTCAGGGCTCCTTTGAAAGAGGTTCAGGGGCCGGGACAGAGAGACCTCGGAGAGGAACGACACTCGGATTTACTTCTAGGCAGTTTACTTCTCCAGCTGGGTGCAAGATGCTTATGGCACATACATTCATCCTCTGTGCAGCACTTAAAAGAGTTACAGCTAGGATGGCAGAAACAAGTTTGATCGCAAAAGAATCAAGGAAGTTTTGCCCAGTCGGCTGGTCCTGCGTGGGTCTGCTGGCACTTTCGGCCATTAAGCACCATCCCTTCCAGAAGCCGTGGGGTGAGTCTGTCAGGCCCTTCAACTGCGTTGCCCAGAGGCATTACGGAGATTATTTTTTTAACACTCCCCTCTCTACGTAAACAGGAAGAATAAGATCCCTCCCAACAGGCCGCGAGCACAATCCTGAAGAGGAATCGGCTCTCCAAGCCAAGTAAAACGGCATTCCATGGCCAGGAAAAAGCATTTCCATCTAGAGGAAGTCACCGCTGATTCATCCAAAAATAAAAATCTCCTTTTCTTATGGCAGGACTTACCGGAAGTTTGGCATGATTTTCCAAACAACGTAAAACAAGGATTCCGGGCTGAAAGCGGTTTGGCTCCCTTGCCATAGGGCACACAGGGTCTTCCGAAACTCTTCCACCAAGGAACTGGGTAAGGAAATGCAAGATTTGTGGTCAGTTCAGGAATCGACATCACTTTCCAACTCTTATCTCTACCGAGTTTGTAGCTACCTGCCCGACACACAAATTGCAGAGAAAGCACCAAAGAATTATCCTGGAGTACCTGAGAAGCCTATTCCCAAGCTTGGAGAGTTTATTTTATGTATGTGTTTCATTTCTAGGCCACGTTTCTCCCAAGGGGACTCGTGGTGTTATGAAAAAAAACACACAAATGAAAATTACGTCTCCCAATAGGAATCTGCCTCCTAAAGAATTTCGAGGCATTCTACTGGTTTCCCAAACAGGCTCAGAAAATGTGAGGATCTCCACGGGTGTGTTACTTGCTTTCCTTTATGCTGATTCGAGGCATCCCATGGAATGGATCAGTCTCCCTTCTTGCAGACCAAGAAGCTCCTGCTTCACTGGGCGGAAACACCACACGATGCACGCTAGGCACCACCCAATGCAAACCACCCAGCAGACCAAAGCTGGCAAGGGAGCCCCCGCCCCCCAAAGGCCATTTCAGCTCTGCTGGTCTTTTTTCCTGCTGCAGATGCCGACGACTACTCTGGCGGGTCCTTCTGCAAAAGCTCAGCCCCTACATTTCCCGTTGCGTATTTTTAAAGACACGGTGTTAAGAATGACTTCGGTGCCGTCCATTCCAAACACTTACCGTTGTCTTTCACTGCTTGCTCACCTCCCTTATTCTCAGGTCATCCCAAGAACACAATGGAGGCTCCCTGTTTTTATACCCACTCCACCCCTCGGACGCCGCTTTGTACTCACACGCTGTTGTCCCCTTGGCTTCGAGTGTGGTACGTTCGCCGGCCTGCGGTTTTTCCGTTCCGGAGCTCTACGGCAGGCAGTTCTTTGAAGTAGCAACAGAACTGCTGGATGTTGCTGTTGACAGAAGGAAGTGTGAACCAGACACACTTGGCCATTAAGAAAGCAAAAGACGACGGTATCCTTTGTGAGAGTAACTCAACAATGAATGGCTGTAAAGCAGCTTGAAAACACGCACATGCATGTTCTAGAACCGCCCCAGGCATTCCTCCATGCCAACAACAGAGGAAATGAATCTTCAGCTACAGATCTGGATCACAGTGTCTCTTGTCTAGCACTGTGGGGGATATTACTCCCAAAATAAAATGTTGCCTGGTACAGATCGGCAATCGATGGGAAGGCCAAAGAAGAGATAACGAAGATGGAGCGGCAAGGCGGGGTGTCCTGTGATGCAGGCAGAGAGATTCTGCTTGAGGATTTGCTCAGATGATTGGGATATTCAGCCGTCCCAAGTGAGACAACACGGCACGTGAATAAACTCAGCCCAAGGAGCCAGAGAGGGCAAGGCACGGGAAATGTTGGCCTTCCAGAGGTTTCTGTAGGGCGGCTCCTATCAAAACCATCATGGCTGTGGCAAAGGATGATAACGGCCGAAATCTGAAACAGCTGGAGGGACAAGGCTCACCCACCCACCTGTCCTGAGTTAAGAAAATGAGAACTGACCCCAAACCGTTGGCTCACCTGAGGGACTGAAGAATGGCATTCATGAAACACGTGTTCCCCAAATTCCTAAGGCCTGTAGCGCACAGAGCGGTGCTGCTCCCCTGGAAAGCAGAGAAAACAGGCCCGTCAGCCAACGCCAGGCCATCCCACCGCGATCGGCCCACGTAGGTCCAAATACGAGCTCCCAACAAGGCCAGATTTTGCCCCCCCCCAGGTAGCTCATTAGATGGCCATGAGTGTCCACTGGTCGTTCTACAGATGAGTCATCAGGTCTGTTCTAAATCTGGCAACCGTATTTAGGCCTTTGACAAAATCATTCACTTAATGCTAATGAGCTGCAAAGAACTTAGAAAAGAAAAAACCCATGGGTCTGACTCAAGCCCACCATCTGCGTCAAAAAGGGCAGATGGAAACTGCAGTCACTCCGAGGCTCCTAAAAGCACAGGATTGTATCAGAAAGGCTTCAACCCAATTCTGGTTGAGTTCCGACCACCTGCATCCCCCCCCCTCACTCCAACATGGGCTAATGAAGAATAAGCAGAGAATTCAGAATAAGCAAAGACGACTTCTCTTCTCATGGCATGTTTGCATAAGCAAATCAGTATCGTACTATGGCAGCGGTCCCCAAACTTTTTGGGACCACGGACTGTCTGAGCCTCTGAGGAAGGCAGGGCAGCATGGGCGCATGTGTGAAGGGGTGGGGGAGCGCTCGTGCGTGCGCAAAGCAACTGTGGGGAGGGGAGTGCGTGCGGGGGGGAGGAAGAAGAATGGGTCTCTGCAACCCATAACTGTGGGGAGGGGAGTGCGTGCGGGGGGAAGAGGAGGTCTTGTCTCCACAGCCCAGTCCAGCTCAGACCACAGACCGGCACCGGGCTGCAGACCAGGGGTTGACAACCTCTGATTTATGGTACATGGAAGTTAAGTCAGGCTAGGAGACAATGGTCGCAAGAGCTCATAAACCAGAACTGCACAGATTTCTTGGTTATTGTGAGTAAGAAGAATCACTTTCCACCTGGCTTCCTCCCTCGGGAAGGAGCAGCTACAAACAGTAACTAGGAATAAACCAGGATATAAAAATCTCAGAGCTACATCCCAACCAGGATTCCCGGCTTGTCACTCCCAAAGGAAACAGGAACAAGAAAGCAAATTCAGGCCTTAAATTGAAATTCTGCCTTGTGTAACTCTAACCCTTGCGCCTACTGGCGGCTGTAGCCACACCTGCTGAGGGAAGGAACAATGGGCAAGATCCTTTGGAATCCTGGCTTATCTTCTTATGTGAACAGAGCTGGTGACTCTGTTCAAGTTAAGTGTGCTGCCTAAAACAGAGCATGAGTTTGAAACCTGGGCATAAAAACAAAATGGTCTCTGGTGCCTTGCAGGTTCATTGGCCAGTTCCCTTGCAGAGCAGAACCGAAAACGTTTCTGTCAACTGAAACAGTTGGGGGGGGAGTTGGGGGGGGGGTTCAGCCTTCAGAACTGGGATCCAGAACCCCCGCCTGTTCCCCGCGTAAGCTCCACTGACCCTTGAGGATCTAAAGGCAGCAACGTACAAGGACGCTACACCAAGACGGTGGATATTGACTCGGGAAAGGGGGGCAACGATCAGCGGGATTTCCTGCTAAACCCCCACATCAAGATGGCGGGTCCATCAACCTTACAAACCATAAGGCTGCCCCTTACATTTATTTTTAACAACTTGCTATTGAGGGACGAGCTCTCCAGAAGCTTTCTTTTCCTGTGTCGGTCTGCGGTGAAAGCTGAACTGTGAGGAAAGGAATAAATTGGTTGTTAAGACACATTAAAGAACTCAAAGGAGAACAGGCTGAAGGCGACCTCGGCTGCCGTGTCTTTAAAATGGCATATTCGCATCTGCAGAGAGATCCATTGGTCCTAAGAGCTACAGGGGGAAACTAAGAGGGTCTTAAAATAGATTTCCACACCTCCCCAAAGCACAGCCTCAAACCTGTCTCCATTTTATATAGCATGCCATCAAATAACATCCAAATTAATCTGATAAAATTATGCTACAGCAGGCACCCTCCAGCATGCCCCGATTAGAATTTAGAAATTTCAATCTAAAACGACAGTTCTCTTGAGCAGAGGCCACGTGGCAGGAAACCCCCTCACGATGACGATCCCTCTCTGCTCACACAGGCATTGTTCTAAACACAACACGTGAGGCCACCAAAACCCGCCAGCTGAAAGTACGCAACAGCTGGAACCTCATAACAGACTTCTGCTTTTGGATTCCAGGCCAGCCTAAGACATTTTGGCGTCTAGACTGATCTAAGCGGGCAGGCGTTCAGTGCGGCTGGGAAAACGGGGGGGGGGAGGGGTTACAATCGATTACAACTGCCTGCCAGACAAATCTCTGCGAAACGCAACAGCCACATTCCTCTCCCATGGGATGTGCCGATTCCTGGCGGGCAGGTTACCCCTCAACACATCCACAACAGGTGTGAGGGACTTTGGAGGGCTCAGGGAGCGGTTTTTCACCCCCTTGATCTAGGGGAAACCACCCTGCCCCCTTCCTGCCAAACCAACCAACCCGCATTATTCTTCAATTTAAAAACAAAAAAAGTGCTTGGGAAGTATGCACTTGCTTTTAAATGAGCAGGGCCTTTCTCAGAGTGTAATTCTCCACGTTTTAAACCAAACCAAGATCAGGATCTCCACAGGAGGCTCTGGGGGGTCCATAAAACCCAGGAAGCAGGTGTTACCTTCCTCTGATAGACAAGGACCGACTACAGTGATGCCCCGCATAGCGACGTTAATCCATTCCAGGATTAACATCGCTAATCGGATTCGTCGCTATGCGGGGGGGACCCATAGGAACGCATTAAACTCCGTTTAATGTGTTCCTATGGGGTGAAAACTCACCGCTATGCGAAGATTCCCCCATCTGGCCGCCATTTTCGCTGCCCGGTAAGCGAGGGCAGGGCGCGAAAACGGAGCGTGTGGCCATTTTTAATTCCGGCGGCCATTTTGGAACCGCCGATCAGCTGTTTTTAGAACATCGCAATGCGAAGATCAGTAAGCGAAACGCTTACTGATCATCACAATGCGATGTTTTGCCATTCAAAATGTCGCAATGCGATCGCATAAGCGATCGCAAAAAATGTGTTGCTATGCGGATTCTTCGTTAAACGGTGCACTCGTTAAGCGAGGCACCACTGTAGTTTTAAAAAGAGGAATCTCTTTGTAAGAGAACTCTAAGCGCGTTTACTTTCAAGTGAAGATACATGCACGCAGCTTACTTTTCCAAATTCTGTAGAAATTCCCGGACTTTCTGCACCAGGCCAAACTTGGTGTCGTTAACTACGAAGTCATCACAACGATAACTGTGAAGAGAACACACACCGTTTCACTTGCATCTGACCGCAGCTGAGGTCATCACGACACAAATTTCTATGGGCTTGCTGAACTAAGAACTTGGGTGCCATAAGCCAGTTGTTCAGCAGGGAGAGTTAGATCAGAGTTAACTAGAGAATCAAAAGCAAATGATACGTTTCAAGTTGGGCTGAAACATCTGAGATGCTGCAGAAAAAGCAAAGTATGCTGCTTATATACAGCCCCACAGCACTTCAAGCAATTTAATTATGCCAACTGCACTTTGCTGACACCCCCCCACCCAGCGAGCTGGGTGCTCAATTTACCGACTTCAGAAGGCTGGAAGGCTGAGCGAACCTTGAGCCGGCTACCTGGGATTGAAGCTGGGCCTTGAGCAGAGCTTTGGCTGCAGCGCTGCTGTTTAATCTCTGTGCCACAAGGCTCCGAAAGAAAACCCTGCCTTTCAGACATATGCTAAAAAAATGCCCACTGGAATTCCATTCCATCCATACGTCCCTAAACCTTTTGAGTTTAAGCATCTTCCAAGCATGGCAAATCTTTCCATTTATGTGAGTTTTGAAGGGCTAAGGTTTGTTTATTTATTTACTTCTTTACTTCTGAAATTGATCTACTGTCCCATCAGGGCACGGACCTATTCTGGGCTGTGTACATATAAAATCCTGGGTTTAAACAGGTATGTGATAACCCAGTAAAACGCCTTCCTAGAGAGTCTATAAAGGAGGCCGTACGAGGACAGACTGAACTCCCCCATTTTGTTTAGTTCAGTAAATGGAGCACAGGAAGCCTCGAGGGAGGCATGGAGGAGGGGAGGGGAGCAGCTGCGTCCCCCCCCTCTGGGCGGGCTCGTTCCACGCATCCCTCCTGCTGTCCCACTTCCACTCAGGACACAAGGGGAAAACGCCTTAACGGATCCGAACAAACGCCCGTAGGTTTTTTTCTTTTTGCTCCTAAAGCAAAGGCCAACCGCACGGCTTCGTATTATACCGAGAAGGGTGGCCACGCCAGCTGGACCGGTCTGTAACCACGCCATTGGCCTTGACTAGGAGGTGGAGGCAGCCCCAGCGCTTGAAGAGTCACTTTTTAAAAGCAATTCATTCCTACTCTTTGTTGCAGCATTTGAAAGACACCTTGTTGCTGTTATTTCTCACAATGAAGTGATAAGAGCACAGCGCAAACTTCAACCGTTCTTGTCAAACAACTCCACGAGGGCTTTAAAAGCCGATGCCCCCCATGAGGTAACTTTGCTCCTATTAGCAACTTCCAGAACCTAACTCTCTTACACCGTCATTACTGCCAACGTAACTTGTTAGGATAAATACTTAATTGTAACTCATTGCTCCCAAGCTCTGAAATGTACAAGATTGCCCAGAGAGGCAAGAAACCGCAACGGAGGAAGAGGACTTCCATCCAGCTTGGCCCATCACCTGATGGAAAAAGGGGGGGGGGAGGCAACCCTGGAAACGTACCAGAAGCCTTTGCATCAGGGTCTGGACAGGGGCCGGTGAAGGCCGCGGTGGCGGCCAGCGTGCCTACAGAGCAGTCTCCACCTATTATACTGCTATGGAGAGAAGTCAGAAGCGGACAGCCAAGAGGGTTCGTGGGCTCATGGGGAAAGGACCGCTCCAACACCTGGCGGTCACCAACACTATATCACGTTCTCACGACTAACGGAAATGCTGCAAACAAGGACTCACCAGTAGGTACTGTAGCTACTGCAGTCCATGCAAACCGTGTGCTGGACCTTCTCTTGCTTTTCGGTCTTCTTGTGGTTGGCTAAAGACACCTGGGCATCTTCGTAATGCTTCTTTGCATGGCCATTGACGTATCTTAGAGAAAGAAAGGGGGAAAAAATCAAGGCAATGGAACATCCGGAGCCTTCTCTCCTCCCCAAATGCCCTGAACGTCTCTCGAGAGCAGACAAATTCTAAACGCAACCAGCCACGTGAGCTGCCTGCCCCCCTTGCTGTTTATTCCTGCCTGATTTATCCCAAACAGCTGAAGTACAAACCTCCATCCAGCGGGTTTTGCAGCAAGTATGAAATACCTCTTGAGCTTTCCTTGTTTTACCCGATGAAGGATTTGTGTTGTTCTGACACAGGATCCCTCCACTAAAGAGCTATTTTCTTTTTCCCAGATTACCTCTTATTTTAACCAAAGAGCAACAATCTTAATTCTTAAACCTTCTAGCTGTAAAATACACATTTCCTCTCACCGGGACATTCCACAGGATTTCTATTTTTAACTTAAAGAGCAGACGGTTAGGGGTGCGTGTGTGCGAGGCCAGGGTTTGGAAGTGCCGCCCAGCAGGAAGGGGGCTCTGCGTTGGTGGCGGCAGGCCATCCGTGCACTTCCACCTTAGGGTGATCCTACGGATTAGTGACCCTGGAAAGGTGTTAGCAGTAACGAGGCCAGTTCAGGCCTTACAGATTCAAGGCTTTGGCTTCCTTTATTGCGGGAGTCTCTCTCAGGCTTGGTCTTTCCCACTGAGTTCTGTCCCTCCTGGATGCTCCCCACATCACTTTATGGTAGACTTCTTAGTGCGTTCCTTTTACCTGGAGAGATATATTCATCTCCTTGGCCAAGACCCCCCACCCCAAAAAATCCTGCTTAAACTGGTAGCAGCTGAGAGGGAGGGAGGGAGGAAGGAAGGAAGGAAGGGCAGGCCTCAGCCTGGGGGAAAGCAAAGCCAGCCATCATGCAGGGATGAACCCCTCAAGAGTATGAAATGGATGGAAGGGAATGGGTGGGTGGGAGAGAAAAAGTTATGGAAAGGGATGTCAGGTTCTGTTAGAGGCTCACCTTCCACAGTGGACGCTTGAGCAAGTGAGGCAGATCCATGGACTTTTGTTAGATCGACACACTGTGGAGCAGAAGGAAGGGGGGGGAGAGGAGAAACGAGAAATTCGGTTACACAAACTTAGGGAGAAATAGCCCACTATTTATTTATTTACTTATTGTTTTGATGGTCACTTCCCGGTGATGACACTATCTATGTACAGGAGAGGCGGCGCACCAGCCTGACTCTGCTCCACGCCCATTCAGGGGGTCCAGCGGCAGGGGGTACCCTAATTTTTAGTGGTGGTGGTGGGCTGGGCTGGCTCAGTTCCTGAATGGACAGCACCGTGACTCTAAAGAGAGACGGCTCCCTGGGAAGAAACCCTTTCCAGCGTGATGATCAGGCACGATCCTTTCCTGCCCTCTGTTTGCACCCCCCAACGTGCTTACGAAAGCAAATTTTGAGCCACGCCCGTCCCTTTTCAACCTACATAGAACAAAACATCTTCCTGCAGAGCGACACCACTCTGAGAAGCCAGCTCCAGAAATCCCGAGAGAAATCTGGGCAGAATGAAGGTGGGTGGTGTATCTATGCAACTTAGCCAAGGAATGGCTGTGCAAAGGAAGCTATTTTTTAAAATCATTCTGCGTCTTTTACCAGGAAATGTTCCTTATCTTAAATACCTGCTCCCTATGGTTTTAAGCTTATAGGTTTTATTTTATTTACACGTTTGCTTGCGAGTTTGAATTGTCTGTGCAAATCCAGTTATCGAACCTTTGCGATCTTGGACCATAAAACTATATTTGAATAATTTCAGTAACGGGCCGCAGGAACGATGAGGTGGACCTACATGTGCACATGTGGTGCCGGATACATTGAAAAGAAGGCAGAAAACAAAGGGAGCCAAAGGGTAGCGATCAAATGCCACACCTTTCTAATGAGGGCGGCCTGTTTTACAGAGACTGGCATGGGGAGCCATGAATACTAATTAGGAATCTGGAGTAATTAGGAATCTCTCATCCCGCTGTGCTTCTGGATGGACTGGAAGATCTGAAATGTTCTCCTGATGTACCGAAACTGTCTCTGCTTTTCATGGTCTACCTAGAGCTGGTGGCAAAGGCTTCTGGGAGTCGCAGTCCAGGAACACCTGGATTACCCAAGGTTGGGAACCGCTGCTTTAAGAGATTCCAAGTATGCATTTTCTGCTTTGTAAACCAAGGAACGGAAGGAACTGCAGCTTAGTAACCCTAACTGTCTCCAGGGCTTAGCCTAGGTCCTTCCTGATCCCATTTGGGAAAGGTCAGGAATTTAACCTGGGAACTGCTCCACCCAAAGCGTGCCATCTGAGCGACAGCTCTCTCCACCCATGGGCCATGAAGCCGGGCTTAAAGAAAGAGAAGTCCACACAAGACAGAATCCCTCCTGCAGGAAGGACTAAAAGGAAGGCAAAACACCTTCCCTGCCTGATCATCTCAAACCAGTGGGATCGGCATGCCCGCCGAGAGTTATCCACATCCAGAACCTATTGCCAACACAACCGGGACTCAACTTTGCCTTCCACATAGGAACAACCACCCACCTGCAATTATTACAGCTATCAGAAGCAGACCGTCTACAGAATCCACTTCTGAAAGAGCAAAGACCATTTCACTCGCTCTTTACAAATGTCTTCTCCACTCTGGTAGCCTCCAAATGTGCAAGGACTGCAACTCTCATTATTAACATCTTTATTTATTTTGGACGCCAATTATTTTCACTTTGTCTAATTTTACTGTGCTTAATGTTATTGCACTTTCAGGAATCATGTCTACCATGATCCTTTTTCTGGGTTTTTAAAAAATTCCTATTGTTACCTTATTTTGATGTTGCTCCATTAGCTGCCTAGAGTAGCAGTTAGCCACTAGTTGGGTAGGATAGAAATGTAAACAAGCCAACAAACTGTTGCCATCCCCAGTTCTTATGGCTGCTGATCAAACTGGCCACATCCCAAGATGGCCAGAGGCGGCAGATTTCCCACTCCCGACATCCCAAGGGATCCAACGCATCCCATTTGCAAGGCTAGGCTACTGAAATACTGCTTGTTCAGAGAGGCACACAACTCTTTATCACTGGCTAAAAGGGAACCCTCACCTGGAGAGAAGTTAAAAAGTAAACCTATAAAGGCACAGCTTCAGTTTCACAGGAGCTATAAAACCCAACTGCTATCTCTAAATCCTGGCGGCCCTGCCGTCTTGGAAGCAGGCACGTCCAAGACTGTAGTTGCGCGCAGCCATGGCACCCTGAAGGACGAGCCTATTTTCAGGGCCGTGAGATGTCCCTGATCCCGGCCGGCGCTCGTGGCTCAAGCCAGGCGTTGGGCCAAACCATGGCTTGATGCCATCACCGTTGCCTCGAACTCACAGCCATGTGGCCTGGCCTTCCTAAAACAGGGACAACAGCAACTATTCAGTTCGACCCAGCCTTATTTTTAGCACAGGCCCACCTATTGTCCAGAAGGGAAGGGGACCCAAAGAAATCAGGGAGGCGGCTGGAACTGAGTCAGAGGCCTCCTCCGTTCATCCACTTCCTCTTGGGTGAGCCATGGGGAAGCCATACGTGCTGTTGCGTAACGAGAAGGGAAGGCGAACTCTGCTCTGGGCCATTTAACCCTTAACCCTCGGGAATACCTAACACCAGCCAAGGAACGAAATGCACCATTTCTATCAGGAAAGTCCATGACCTACAAACAGGACCATTTTGCCATCAAGTGCTGCGTTTCAGCTTTTAATCTTCTGTCAACTTGTTAAAAACCTTTGCTGGTTTTGCCTGGCCTTCTCTTGGGCTGAAACTCACTATTTATTTATTTATTCAACTTATACATTTATTTATCTTATAGGCCTCCCACGGGCGGCTCTGGCTCGTTCATTCTGTTCGTTTATTTATCTATTAATCATATTTTTACCCCACCTCTCTCCTTAAAAGGACCCGAGGTGGCTTAACAACCATTAAAAGACAACGTTTAAAAGCTAAAAATGTTTAAAAGCTAAAAAAACTGGTTTTAGTACGTATATAAATATTTAAAGAGAATTAAACAAGTATCATATTAAAATCAGTCAATGAAATCAATACCTAAACCATTTTGAAACAAAAGGGCATCACCATCCATTTAAAACACCCCACTCGGGCCACCGGCCTCTAAGGAAAAGCCTGCCTGAACAGAAAAGTCTTTGCCTGCTTGGCGAAGAACAGCTAAGACTGGCATCAACCTACGTGCCGTGAATGATCCTGGCCATGCTTATAAAAACCCTGTGGAGTAGGCCAGCATTTCCCATCCCGTGCAGAAAGGAGGATACGTGCAGTTCCACGCAAGGAGAGAAAGGAAGGGGTAAGCTGGCCAAGAGGACGACCCGCAGACAAAGAGGGGACAGGCCTTTTACAACGAAGGTCCTAAGTCGGCTGGCCGTGAGCTCGAGTCCATGGCCTCTTTCAACGGCAAAGATTTGGAAAGGCTTCTAATAAAATCTGCTCTCGGCCTTGGGAGTCAACGCCGTCTGCAAAGGGCTTGAAGCTCTTTTGCAGCCGCTGGCCAGAGGAAATGAATTAGCCATCACGCCAGGCTTCCCTCCCCAGTCTGACCTCACAGCCCTTCTGGTTTCCTGCCGTCCAGTCTCCCCATGCCCTCCCCCTACAGGTCAACATCTCCTTGGTCCAGCCACCGTTTTCCTTCCTCCAGTCATCATCCTATATTTTCTTCACTGCCTTCCTTGGCTGCTGCTTATCCTTCCAGGAAACACTCTGTATTTTACTACTGCCAGGGCGGCCTGAAATACTTTTGACGTCAGAACCACAGCAATGAAATCTCTTGACCGGCGCCCCACCAAGCCAGAAGTCTCACGGGGGGGGGGGTAAGGCCATGGGGCTGCATTGTTTTTACAAGCACGGCTGTGGCATAAAAGGCAGGGTGGATCTCCTTCAGCGGATCCCTCTGACACAAGCAACACCACGCTGGACGGACGGTTAATGAGCTGGACTTCCTGTTAATCAGAGGCGTCCCCGGTCAATGGCCATCCCGGGTCACCTTATTTTAAGTCTCCATTGTATGGAATGTTAGTATAAACTCTATGCCATCTTGCCTAACCAAAACAGGAGAAACAGTTAAAAAAGAGGTCTATCTGAAGTGAGTCATATAGGCCTCTGTTCATCAACACTGAGGATGTCTTTATTTCAGTGTGAGCCCCCACGGATCACATCCTGCTTTCTCAAACACAAACTCTGTTCAGCTAAAAGGATACCACAAGACTTTTATTTTTACATGTTTGCTCTATTTTTTGCTTATATATAACCCGAAATGGGTTCACACAGCGACATCTGCGAAAATATATGGACGTGTGGAGAGTCCAGTTCCGCCTCCTTCAAGTCTGGCAGGGCTAGTCGGATAAACACACCGGACACATTCTGCGGAGAACAGCAGTACCTGTCCATCCCTGGACACAGAGAAGCGATCAGTGTCTGTATTTCCAGGAAAGGATGATGCTGACGTGAACATTCATGCATCAGGGATGATGAGACACTGGAAAAACCCATTGCCGCTTTTATAGCGAGGCGAGTGCGCTCAGCTCTAAAAGAGCAATCAAGGGATTTTTGCGACAATCCACCTTGGACCGAAACCCGCTAAGTTGTTCCTATGCTCCACGGGTGAGTGGGTTTCCATTTAGCCGCCAAGAAGAGATGCTATCAGGACGGACCGGGCGAGAGCATGGAAAGTTTCTTTGCATTTCTTGCGAACGAGGAGAAAAATGGAGCCTTGGTTGGCAGCTTCGATGGGAGGCAGGTGCCGGAAGAGCGCCTGGGGGCCATCCCTCACCCCCTTCCCCAGCCAGCCTTAAAACACCTCGCCAAGCCAAACTCCCCACAGGCCGGTGTGGAGAAGCGATTCGGTCTCTGCATCGGGCTACCTTGTCCTCCACGAACAAGTGAACGGCAGCGAATTTAAGGAGCCTTGCCTTTCGAAGCAAGGGCTTGCAATTCAGGAAACTGTAAACCACAGGTGACATTTAAAGAGTCCTCATGAAATAAACAACCCGACTATCAAGTAACATCAGTGC